CCTATCCTTCTCTTCATCCTTTCCTCTATCACTCCTATTTGCACTAGCTCCAATTCTCTGTAACCCCTTATATATATATAATCAATTACGACTGAGTTGTGAGTGCTCCATAATTTCAGCCTCGTGCCACATCTAAGCAATGTTTCATAAATTGCTATATATATATCTATGTATATATATATATATATATATATATATATATAGAGAGAGAGAGAGATAGAGAGAGAGTGAGTGAGAGAGAAAGTCTTTTATTGCTATGTAATGGTTAGCAATCTTGTCTTGCTAAGTTAATTACAACTGAGTAGTGAGTTTGGTCCTCACAGGATGCCCCATACTTTCATCTAGGGTTCACTTAGTCAATCAATATATATATATATATATATATATATACGTTTTGAACAATAAAACAAATATTAAAAGATTAAAATTTTCAACTAGTTTCGAACAACATGGCCATCATCAGGAGAAAATAAAAATCCCTGCTTGTTAGTAGCAGTGAACTACAGAAGTGAATGACTGTTTTGAAGAAAATGAAGTTTATCTGTAGTTTTCATTTGTTTTTTTTTTATTGTTAATTTTGGTCAGTCCTTGTGTTGGTCAAACAACCTCTTTCAAGTTGTTTTTAAAAAAGAGGATGGGTGATTTCTGACTTTAAAAATTCCCTCCTTGGTCAGTTTGACAGTTTCATTGGTTACTGGGAATGGGATGTATGTGTTATCTTTTAGTTCTTTGGGAGTGTGTGTGATGTGTTTATGTGTATATATTAGTATGAGTGTGTGTATAAGAGTGAGACCTCAACATCTATGCAAGCATATCTGTCTTGTGTGTGTGAGAAATGTGGGTAGAGGTTGATTTATGGCGTTATATATTGATTCTTTCTACCATGTTAAATTTGTGGTTAAGGCTATTTGAATGAAGTGTTTTGAGGCATTATATATATATATATATATATATATATTAACTCATATGTCTTTGAAATATAATGGACCACTTCACATGTTTAACAATAACTTTATGGAAAAAAAAAACTTCTCTGTTATCAATTGAGTCTTTCTTTCTGTCATTTGGAGAAAAGGAAGAACTGGAAATGAAGATCTGAAAGAAAGCAACTAAAGAATTAGCAGCATTGCCATTTCCATTGTCATTTATAACCATAATATATGAAAAAAATAATATAAACTTATAATATTGTATTAAAAATAAATCATTGTAAATATTTGAGAGTCTTTGAGAATCCTGTACATTCAAGGAACTATTACTCTGTAAATAGAAGGTATGGTTGCTGGGACTTAATGTAATCTATGACTAATTTAGGCCTATTTTGCCTTTAAATTTATTGAAAACTTTTCACGCATGTTTTACATTCGAAAAATTTAATTTACAATATACAATGTCAGAAGGTAAAATTGTGTGAAGGCCTAAAATGTGTGTGTACATTATGCATTTATCCACAACAAATAAATTAAATGAACATATGAAGACAATACAACTTGAAGAAATCAAGAAAAAGACGTAGTTATAGATTTCAACAATAACATGAATTTATATATATATTTGACATACACAAAGTGATGATAGGTTGCTTGTTAAATGTGGCAAGTGAGATAAGATTGCAAAGAGTGTCCATGCAGAGATTTGGTGAATGAATGTTGATGGTTTAAGTTTGTTTGTGAAATTAAAACAGTTTGATTTCTGCAGGGTAAAATGTCAACTGTGTGAGTTCAAATAATAGTGTGTATGTGTGTGACAATTGTAAGTGTTGATTCAAGTTATGAAGAGTTGTGTGCCTTTGACTGATATGCTAAAGTTGATTAAATGTACAATTACTATTTTGTAGTGATAATGTCCCTTTTTAGTAAATTCTAAGTTAAGTTTCTTCACGTGGCAATAGTAGTGCGAGTTGTGTTGAGTTGATGAGAGGCTGGTAGTGTTAGTGAGTCAGTGTGTTGGCACGCGTGGAGTCTGCTGGCATCTCTCAAAACTCAGTGTCTGACTGGCTTGAATTAAATTGAGTGATTCTTTTTTGTAGATTTTTTGGTTTTCAAATAGGCTCCAGACAGCTGCGCGGAAAAAAGGATTTGTCTCAACTTGCTACATTTTTGTGTCCAATAGGAAGTTGAGTTTGGAAAAGTGAAGTGATGATTGGTTAAAGGTTAATTTGGGGAAGAGTACATCTTCCCATAGGGGGTGACAGGCAAGTATGGAGGATTCCATAGCTTTTTAGCCATTAAATTTCAAGGCTGAAAGTGGCTAGTATTATTAATCAATGAGAATTGAAGAATTTAAAACTAGTTTTTCTCATGTGATTGATTGCATCCAGACCCTAATAACTTTGTGCTTAGCAAGTTGAAAATTTTCATCCGAATGTTTAATGATAAACAAAATGGATCATTAGCATCTCTTGATAATTGATTTTTTAGGACCTGAGTTAAATTAACTTTGTCCAACAACTAAACATCTTTTAAAATCTAAGTTTTTAATGGAAAAAATTGTTTTACTATTGTTCCTAGTAAATAACAAAATAAAGTTATTTTTTAGTTTAACATCAAATTTAAGACATGAAGGGCTATTGATTTGTAATAGCTAACGAATTATGCCAAGTAGGTAGCTGAAAAGAGAGAGTGGACTTTATCGTATTCCGACCAATTCGATAACCACAGAGATGTCACCTAACAAAAAAAAAAAAAAAAAAAAGAAAGAAAAAGAAAAAAATAGAAAAATAAATAAAAAAATAAAGGCTTGGTGTTTTTCTCGTTACAGATTTCTTTCATTTTCAGCTTTTATTTCAAAAGTACATTTTCGGAATATTTTTGTGATAATATCCAAGACTGAATTAATAAACCCGTTTTTAAACCTCTTACGAAAAAAAAAAAATCAAACATGATCACTTATTTTCTCGTGTAGATGAAAAATTTCAACTACACTATTATTTTGTTTTCTGCTAAAATTATTTCATTGTCTTGATTTTTAAAAGCGGTCGACGGTTTTTAGATTTCCTGGAAGAAATTTTAAAAAAAATGTTATTTGAGATGTGAATAGATCTTAACTTCCGGTTTGGTTTCTTCATTAACTGTTGTAGCAGATAGACATGTACGCTTTAAGTGTTCGTGTGTATTCATAAATTATAATTCATATTATCAGATCTTAATATGGTAAGTTATAAAAAGTGAAACAAGGATATATTTGTAATATTTTTAAAAAATAGGGAATAATAAAAAAAATAATCTGAAATAGTCTTTGTAGACTTGGATAGTTGCAGACTTTAAAAATGGTTGAAGTGAAGAAATATTGGAAAACATTCAAATATAAAAAATTCTTTTATGGTCTATTTACCGATTATTGACCATGATCACAGTAAAGAATAATTTTAAGACTAAATATTATTAAATTTGTCAACCTGGTAATCAATTTGTCTTAGGAAACGGCATCTATGAATTTAAAAAAAAAGTTTTTAGATAAAGTAAAGAATACAGAAATTTTCTTTAACAGGTACCCGACCCCCAATAAATTTATAAAAAAAAAAAAAAAAAAAAGTACGTTTAGGAAAAGTACAATTTTCTTGTCCGGCAGCAATTTTTTTTTTTCCTTTTAGTTTTATATAATTTTAAACATTTTTTTTTACCAAAATGTAGATGAGAAACATCTTGATTTCGAGTTTTTTTTTCTTTTTTATCTTCTAAAACAAAAAGACACACTTAGAATCTGGTATAATTAAAAATAAAATTGACATACAAGCTAAGTAGCATTTTTTTTTTTTTTTTTGCAGGACGTGAAATGTTTTAAATTTGTATTTTTTTCTTTTTAGTCAACTGCAAAAACTGAAAATATTAGTTTATTCCAAATATAGACATTCTTTAAGTTTTTTTTAAACATCTATGATTTCTTTCTTCAGTTAGTCCACTTCAAATATTTTTTAACTCATAAATGAAAACTTAAGGTGAGAAAACTGAAAAGTCCTTATATGAAGAAATCAGTTTCCTAAATGGAAAAGTACAAGAAAATAAAAAAATTAAATTTTTAAATATTTTCATTTTTAAGAAATTGAAATTCTTTTCAATTTCTTAATATCCGATGTTATTTTTAACGTTTAGATTTATAAATTTATTTAGAGAGTGAGAACAAATTAAAAAGTTAACTTTTTTTGTTTCGATTCCTAAGAAGACTTAAGTTTTATGACAATAAGTAATAATAATAATAATAGCTAGCAGTAGTTGTTAGCTAGCATCACATTTAGTCTCGCCATATTGTTAAAAAGACGAAAGGAAGAAAGAAGCGATGGACGAAGAAGGAAATTAAAACAAGGAAAGAAAGACATTTTATTACGAAAAAGAAGAAAAGAAAAATACAAGAAAAAAAAAACAGACGAATCCTTGTTTTTCCTTTTTTCCGGTTTCTCTTCATTTTTTTTTCTTTCAATAATATTTTTTCTTTTTTGTTTTTTTTTTACAAACAAACAATTTTGGTCCTTAATCCTTCTTAAAAGACATTTTAAAATCAATTTTTATATTTTCCCCCCATTTTTATTATTTTCATTCACTGTGTCCGTTCGGCATTTCTTTTTCTCTCCTCCTACTCCGTTAGAAATCTTAACCTCTCAGTAAATTTATCCGGAAACTCTCAATTTATTCTTTGTATCTATCTATCTATTTCTCTCTCGTTCTGTACACTATACTCCCACTACTTCTCCGTAATTGTTTTCCATCCCTCTTTATGCTTTCTTAACGCCCTCCTCAAGTCCCATGTTTTTCTCTCTTACTGTTTCATGTATTCTTGTAACTTCTCTTGTCTCTCCTCCTACCCCGTCACAGTGTCCCTTCTACCACTGCGACTAACTCTCCTCCTACCTCGTCAGTCGCCTGTACTTTCACCGCACCCAGTGAGAGAGAGAGAGAGTAAGAGTATCTCACACACATACACACACACACATACATACACACACATACACAAGGCAGCACCAAGCGGCGGCCAAGGAGACGGAGGCATTAGATCTTTCACTAGAAATGTCTCGTAGTGCTGATACAAACAGTTCCAGTAATACCTACAAGTTGGTAGTCGTCGGTGGAGGTGGCGTTGGAAAAAGTGCCTTGACGATACAATTCATCCAGGTAGGTCCACGACCATCACGCTCCTTCCCTCCCCCCGATCAACTCTTAATGTTGATGATGATAACATTCAATTTTTTTCAATACAAATGCTTACGACAATGATGATGATGGCACCGTGATTACCACCACAACTCCTACTATTGCCTTTTCATTATAGCTGTAACTACTACTATTGTTTTGTTATTATTGTTAGTAGTATAATGAAAAGCAGTCGTCGTAGTGGTGGTGGTAGCGGGTTATAATTCCACTTTACTTGGCGACTACGCCTTTTAAATTATTGACTCATATAATAATAATATATATATATATATATATGTATATATATATATATATATATATATATATATATATATATATATTGATGTGTGTATATATTGGTGTGTGTATAAGGGGAGAGAAAAGTGAGTTTATCTTTCCTTCCTAGACTCTTCGAGTCTTATTGATTGAATGAATACAAAAAATAAAAATATCCGTTAGTTTTTATGGTCCATAAGTAAAAATATATACATGTTCATAAAAGTTTAGGGAGATGTCTAAAAATATGATTAAATTAAATTTAAATCGAATCAAAACGATTTGCATGTCAATGTTCTGTCATCTTTCTTTTACTTGATGACTAAAAAATGAAATGTGTGATGTCTATGCATTTCTTTCTGTCTACTTACTATTTTTATGCCTTTTCTTTTTACCATTTTATCTGTCAATAAATGATATTTGAAAAGCCTTTTTCGATAAAGAAGGAGGAAAAGGGAACTGTTTCTCTATAAAAAAAAAAACATTTTAAAACATCACATGGAATTTATTTCAATCTCCAAACCAGCTCGTCTACTACTAGAGAGAAAATGAAAGGGTTTTTCCAAGATGCCTTTTTCTGTCGACTTAGTGTTTGGATCTTCGTGATAGACAAAGACATGAACATCTGTCTCTTCTTGTATCGTTTCCTATTCATGTCTGTGTCTCACTGTCTACTTGTTTATCGTGTGTCCTGTTATTAGTTTTTCCTTGTCTGTCATGTGTTCCATTGTACTGTGAGATCACCGTCTCTTCTGTCTACCATACTTCTCTCCTGTCTACCATGTGTTTCGTCTAATGTACTTGTTGTTACTGTTTCTCCTGTCTACCATGCCTCTCATTGTCTCCGTTTTCTACCATGAATCTGATCGTCTCCCGAGTCTACCACGTTTCTCACAGTTCCCCCTGTCTACCACGCTTTTCACAGTCTCCCCTCTCTACTACGCTTCTCGCCGTCTCCTCTGTCTACCACGCTTTTCACAGTCCCCCCTGTCTACTACGCTTTTCACCGTCTCCTTGTCTACCAAGTGTCTCACTGTCTGTGTTTCATTACGTACAACTTTTGTGTCTTGGAGTCAGTATTTCACTGCCTGTCTACAACCTGTTTAGTAGTGTTTATTGTCTATAGATTTTTTCATCTATTTCCTTAACTTAGTACATACCACGTTTATCTATTTTCTCGTTTTTCAATTTCTGTAGCCACCCCCAACAAAGGCGTATTTATCAATCAGAATGTCTACCTCTTTCCTTATACTTACGCATTACTACAAGCTCAACTGTGATGATCACAAACTGGGGGCTCAATTAATGTTTCCCCCCTATCAAGAAATATCTTGATAGTGGAAAACAAGAGGAAAATTCAGGCCTGTAAATTAGGCTAAAGAAAGGATATGTTTGGTCTTTTTATTTATATATCAGTAAATTTAAATATTTAATTCAATTAAATTACGAGTAAGTAATGATCTGTTTCTCAAAGGAGCAAGCGATCATAAAATGAAAATATTTATAAGGATGAAGCCACAAACAGTTGAAGAATGGTTGTTGTTTCTCAAAAATCTCTTCTTTTTTTCTTGATTTAAAAATTTTCTAGTGTTCACGTTTTCAGAAAAAGAAATTATATTGTTATTTCACAAATTTAAATTTCCCTGTATCTTGCAGAATTTCATTGTTTTTTAAAACTTTTTGTATTTGCTTAAATAAAATGCCACTTTTAAAGTTAAATGTCATTGTGCACACGTGTGTGTGTGCGTGTTGAGAATTATATAAAAATAGTGTTTTTTATTACTGTTTTACGCGTAAATTTGTTGTGTAATAATTTGATTATGATTAAACATAATTTTCTCATTTTGAAATCATTATTTCTTTTTCCAATATCTAGATAGTGTAATAAAATGGCAATAAGAGAAATGTCGGGGGTGGGGATTACTTTGTTTCTTGATACATTATCTTTTAATTTGACAGTAGTGTCGATATAAAAATATCTAAAAAATATTGCAAAAATTAGATTAGAAATCGCTATTCAAGTTTTTCTTGCCTAAATCCTCCTAATTTCCACCATTTTCTGGATAAAAAAAAATCATATTATATAACAACATTGTATGGTTGAATTGAATGTATATATTGAACATTATATCTTTTTTTATTACACACACAAGAATTCTGGTGTGTGTAAAGAATACACTTACAGCAAGAATTCATTTATTTAAACATTAAACAAGTAGTTAAAACATTTATTTAACCGACTGTTTATACTTTTTTTTAATAGTATTTTTAAGTTTCTATTTAAAAATTAAACACAAATTTGAATTTAAAAACATTTATGCACTACACATTATTATTGGTTCACATGTAGTAAGTATGGGTCATAAACCTTGTATATTGTCTTTGAACTACTTGAAGCATAATGTGTGTGTGTGTGTGTGTGTAAGTGTTTAAGTAAATTTGTATTAATGGAGTTGTGTGTTTTCTTTGGCCAATAATTATATCGCCAAAGTAGCTAGATAGAAAGAAATATGCGGTTCTTTTTTTTAATTTGTGTAGTGTTGTATACGTTCATTTATCTTTTTGTCGACAGATAATGATAATAATAATAATTATTTTTTTACTGTGATGACGACGAGGGCAGTCGCCCTTCTTCTTTAGTTAATAGGCCCCACATTCATTCCTCCTGTGTAATATATTTTGGATGTTTTCTTTTTCTTTAGTCTATTTGACTTTAAAAGTAATTCTCATTGCTGCTCTCCCCGTTTATTTATTTATTTACGACTTTTCTGCCCACAAAAATCTCTTATTTCTTTTTCTTTTCTTTTTCTCTGCCTCATCGTCGATCATCCTTGCCATTTTTCACCCACAACCATGCGTGTGTGATTTTTCGGTCCTCAATTACTGTTTTTCATTATCAAACGAAATCACCAGGAAGAGGAGGAATTATATAGCGATAAAAAAAAAGAGTTGAGTGTGGAAACGTCGAGACTTGAGTGGATTAATAACAAGCACATGGCTCGACAAACAAAAAAGGTTTTATGTCATTACGAAATAAATATTAATTTCTTTAGAAACATTTCTTTTTATTTATTACAAAATCTGCAGCTGTTATGAAATAATTTGACTAAATGGGTTCAAGTTTCAAACCTAACAGAAAGCAGCCGTTTTAACAACCAACGACTGTGTGTAGTCAGTCACAACTCGAATTTCCCATTTTTGGCCTTCTCTCCCATTGTACCCGTTTAAATAAAAATGAAGTGGATCATCGTGTTTAAAAAAAGAAAATAAGAAAGAAAAGGATCTTAAAAGAAAGCAGAAATGTTTCTCTCTCCTAATTTAAATGAATAATATTGTTGTGTGATATAGATGATGATGATCCAGTCTAACAACAACAACAGCCAATCCTGCTACTACTACCATCATCTGGAGCTCTTTTTCTCTCAACAACCTTTCTTCATTTCCTCTTCTTCTGGCTTGTCGTCTTTCACGACGACTTGCTCGAGCATTTTTCAATCATTTCCTTTATTATTCGACATTATTTCTCTTTCTCTCAATATTCAACAACAACACCTTTAAATATCTCGCCTCGCACTTTGCAAAAACAAGAAAACCCAAAAAAACACGAACTTTAAATATCACAAAGATCGTTTTTATTTCTTTTCCCATCATAAACCTAAAAGAAGAAAAACCGCTGTTTTTTTTTTTTTTTTTTTTTCGTCCTAAAGACGAAAAAAAGGACAGAAAAATGCAAGACCTATTTTTATTTGTTGACCATTAATAACGACGTTATGGTCAAATAAAGGAGTTTTAATTTTTATTACACCTATTTTATAATGAAGCACCTGCAATCGAAATTATTTCATTATTTCGATGTGGTCAATTGTTTTTTTTCTTCTCATTCTTTATTCGCCATAAAAATGTCTGTAAACATCTTTTAAATGGACATTATTATTATGGATTTCGTAATAATTTTTTTTTTAATTACTTTTTTGTTGATGATTTGAAATCTAAATTTACTCTTTTATTATTATTTGGGGTTGTCTAAAGTAAAAAAAAAAAAAAAAGGACTTGCCTCTCTGCCAAAAAGAACAAAAAACGTTTCTTTTAGGTTTCACTTTTTTAAAAAGATTTTTATTATTTTAATTTTTTTTTTTAATGAAGGAAACGTACCTTGTGTAGTTTCTCTCTCTAAGTCGATTTGTTATATACGAATATTACTATACAGTCAGTTCTAAATAAGAAACGTTTTTACTACTTCAACAGTCTACTATACATAGAAACGTTAAAAAAATGCCCTTTTTTTTCTTCTCGTCAATGAAAGAAATAAAAATACCTTTCTTTTTCTTTTTTATTCTCTGCTACTAAAACATATGTGGCCTCATCATCATTTTGCTCCTCAGAAACACCTTGTTTTTATTAAATGAAAATCCATTTTTAGATTTTATTGTGTATTCTTAGACATTCTCAACGAACTCAACCTTGTCCATTGGCGAAATTAATTTTCAACTTAAAACGAAAGAAAATATCCTAAAAAAAAAAATAAAATAAAATCTAGTTTAAATTTTATAAAAATCCATCCTCCATTCTAACTAAATAAAATATGTATTTTTGTTACCGGTTGTATATTGTGTGACGAGATATTTTACTGTGTAGTTTAAGCCTGTACATCAACCATTTTTGCTCAAGATACTTTTTTATTCTATCTGATGTATAAAAATTGATTC